TTTAATTTCAGCTTCCACCAGCACCACACCATGACGTGAAGCGCCGGCTGATCGAGAAATTTAAAAAGTCTTTGTTCCAGAGAGGTAGTGATCCATACAGTCTGAAGGTGGAACTCAGCAAGGTTTGGACAAACAACATACTGTAAAACATTTTTAAGTCATTTTTCAGATAGGTATAATAGAAATTGCCCTTGTCTCTGTAGCTTCTCCAGGCCTCACCAGAGCTAATGGAGTTGAGCTCCAACAGTTCAGAGTGGTGGCCCCTGGTTAATCACTTCCCAGGAGAGACGCTCACTACTGACAGTTCAGGTACAAGGTCAAGTTCGAGTGTCATTTGTTCAGTACAGAATTTTCTCAGTTATTTGAAGAATGTATGTATTTTCCCAGCAGATGATGGGAATCTTAAAGACGGAGTCACATACCAGCAGATGCAGGTCATATACAGTAGCTCTCACAGGATCATATCACTTTACAGAGTTCCTTCTAGCCTTCCCTATAACAACACTCAAATATATTTAAATATATTCAAATATATTTGAAATCATCAAATCCCATAGCTGGCTTTTTTTCATTACAGGGAATAATAGAAGACCTGCTGGTTGAAAATGGTTACTACAACACCACCAACTTCAGGTGATTTGTTCTATTTACATGTACTTATTAACATTCAGTAAGTTTATATACTTATATATACATTTTTAAGGATATTCAACATATAAAGTGAAGTGTAGTTGGTGTCCTGTGGTTGTAATTAATCTAAATATATTTATCTTCATATTAGTATAACTAAAAAAAACAACGAAATATACCTGTTGTTTATTGTATTATAATTCTTATTTGTATTAAATGTATTATTAAAAACAAAATATAACAATTGAAAAAGCTATTGTAATATTTTCTTTTTTTTAATTTCACTATAGAATCATTGAGAGGACAAATGAGCACCGTCCCTACATGTCTTCATGAGAGACAGAAGAATCGGCTTTTTTGATTTATTATATCTCGTCTTTCTGATCCGCTCCTCCCTGCAGTGGTTTTAATCATTTTCTATTCATTTACCAATACTTTCTGCTGTTTCCTGTTTCATCTCAGCACAAGCTCTGAGTACGGTAACGTGTGCTGACGCTGATATGAACTATACATGAACGGCATTGACATGTGAAAAAATCCTATCGTTTGACAGTAAAATGTTATTTGGTTGTTTTGTGTGCAGATCCTGTGATGTGTTTTCATGCAAAGACAAAAAGGTGTATTTAATGGGACTTCGCTGGACTGGAATTTAGTGTAAATCAATGCATTGCCTCGGATTGACCAACAGGGGACAGTATGAGCCTTTCCTATAAAGAAGCTGCAGTGACCTGAAAGAACCTGAGCTTAAACTGAAACAAATAGGAGATGGTGTTTTCTGCTTATAGTAACAGCATCATCATCAGCATCATCCCTGCCACCACGAGGCGCAGCTAACATTAATCAAACCCTTCAGATTAAGAAAGATAAAGACAAACCAGACACTGATGCTTTTCCGAAATTGCATTATTTTGATGAAGCAAAACATTTTAATTGAAAACATTTATACAGCGATCATTAAAGTCATGTAAAAAAACCCATTTAGAACAATATGGTTATCAACTGTTAATGTCCTCTGTAGGATGATGTGTAACTAATTCAGTTGACACACATTTGCAGTAAAAAATTCACAGACTAAGGAAAGAGCTCAAAACTACAAAATTACAGAATAAGCACTAATTTGTTTATTGATGTTTGTTTTTTTAAGAAAACGGACATATCTTTTGTTCACATCAGTGTATGATTAAGATTGTTTAATTTTCTCTTTTGATTTTTAACTATCATCGTTATCATCAGGGACAACGTTGTTTAAGGTGTTTCTGTCCAAATCTAATAAAATATTCTAATTGTTAAGCTAATGCTAAACGTACCGGTGCGTGTTGAGGTAAAGACTGATCGGTGTGATCTCTCATGCAAATATAAATACAGGAAACACCTGGTTGACGTTAAATCTCTCATTAAAGCAACACTACGTAACTTTAAAAAAAAAACAAAAAAAAACAAAACTAGAATCAGCTCCAAACATTTATGTATTAAAGAGGGGATATAGGCTCTTACTTGAAAGAAAAATGATTTAACTTTGTAATGGCATTTATGGGAGAATTAAATGACACAGTCGTAGATCTTATAAAAGAACATCTAAATTAACAGTTGCAATTCTGCGTCTGGGATCGCACAACTCGATCGCAAAACCTCAGCCCTGTTCCTCAAACTCAGAGCTGTTCATTTAAATTGGAACTTGTAAAGCACAAAAAGCTTAAGAATAAAGTAGAACGACGAAAGACTTCATCTTCAAAGATTGAAAAGCACTGATTTCTCATGACAGCCGAGGAAACCTCTACGTTATAAAGTAGTCTAACCCAAACACAGTGACTGCACGTGGTACTGCTGATGCTGGTCAAAAGTTACTTAGTGTTGCTTCAAAACTTTACTGCATTATGTTTTCAGTCTGTGACCAAAGACTGAGGAAAGACGTTAGTGGCCCTCAGGACTGCAGCAGATCTTTAGTGTCTTCACATACCTCTCTGGAAGTGTCCGTTGTTCTTTAGTGTGAAGGAACCAGAGATGGACATATTCTAAAAGAAGTAGTACTAGTATGTGCTTGGTCTTTCCGCACGCTCAGCGGTCCTTCTGCTGGTTCTCCAGGTTCTGCAGATCCTCCAGCATCTCCTCAATCAGAGGAGGCATGGAACCTGGAATCTCCATCTTCAGTGTCACCACCCTCTCAGCTCCTGCAGAAATATAGACATGGATGATTTTCATTAACGCTGATCTTCTCTCCTCAAGTGTAAAAGCAAATACCGTTTCCAATTATTACGCAGAGTGAGGACTTTTGTTTTCTGACCTTTAGCGCTGATGCTACGCAGGTCCGTGATCTTCATGAGGGCTTTGGGGAACATCAAGGGCATGCTGGGTCGCCGTTTGCGCGAGTAGATCTTCAGTGCCTCCAGCAGCGGCTCCTGCAGAACCTCAACTTTCGATGGTTCCTCCAAGTCATGGCGGTCTTTTCAGACAGAGATATGGAAACATTAGGACCAAAAAGTATCAGGTGGTAGCATCGGTACATTATTTTGAGAACTAGCATAGTATTTGGAATGTGGCATTGGATGCAGTATTGACCCTAGTATGTGTATCAATGCATGTTTATCATAAAACTTTTCTGTAGATTCTTGCTGTACCACCAGAGACGAGGCAGATGGCGCTGAGGAGCCCACTCTCTGTGTCATCCATCTCCAGAGGCAGCAGCTGCCCAGCAAAAGTGAAAACCTGATCTGTCATTGGTCCAAATCCAGCATTATGGATCTGGGTACGGGTCAGAGTCAACCCGTCCGAGAAAGTCATAGTATCCTGGTCGGGAGTGTAGCGAGTGCAAATCCTCAGTATCTGGATGACGACAGTGGTAAAAAAATAAGTTCTTGGTGTCAAGACTCAAAATGCAGGATTTATAAAATTTAAGACAAGTTTACCAGGATGTCCAGGCAGGCAGCTTTCAGCAGCGTGATCTGGTCTGCCATGGTCAGACCTGTGAAACCTGGCACTCTCTTGGCGAACTCCACCACCTTGATAATGCACTTAGTGGCCAGTTCACTGAACTTGTCCCAGAGGCCGAGGTCCAGGTGGATCCTGTGGTCTGAACTGGAGTTCTGGAGACAAACAGAAAAGACGTGAGGGATTTTTGGTCAAGTCTAGACGACACTGAGGAGTTTCCTGTTTGTTGTTTCCCTGTAGTTTCACAAGCTGAGGCCCATACACTGGTAGCAGTCAGCTGTGACGACTCACTGTGGTGTATTTTCCCAGCTGACAGAGCGAGGGGAAGGTTTCTCTGTGAGCTCTGCAGATCTTCTCCACGATCAGGCCCAGCTCCTCCGTCAGCTCGTACGTCTCCATGATGGTCATCTTCACTGCCTCATTCTTCTCCTTCCTTCTGTTCCTGTCATTTCTCACTGCTGTAGACATGACATATAGTGTTATATGTATGAACGCTGGCCTTACTTTTCTAAAAAAAAGTAATAACTTTATTAGAATGGATTAATTATGAAGCCTTTTGTGAAGCTTTTTTGTGTCATGATATTCAGCCAAATTTTGAGGTCACTTCAAGTCATCTCAGAACTAATTTAGCCTTTTCCTTTAAACAGTGCTGCTCTTTGTTGCTAACATTTTGCTAATTTTACCTTCTATCCTTTGGTGCTTTTTTTATGGATTTTTTGCTATTCCTTTGGTGCTTTTTTTATGGATTTTTGCTAAGTTCTAGCTCTCTTCTTTTTTTAACTTAACTATAATCTATTTTTTGTTTTTATAAGGTAGGTTTGGCTAAATTTTAGTCATTTATTATCGTTTGGCTGTACTGGGACTGCTTATTTTCTATTTAAAGCACTTTAATCAAGTATTTGCTTGACTCCATTTATCATTGAACTAACTCTCAGTTTCTCAGTTATTTCCTTCAGCTAAATATAATCTTACAAAACTCTTAATATACGTGTAAAGGTAAAAAATGTCAGAACAAGAAGCTGAGCACGTGGTACTAAACAATGTGGTACAGAAGCCTAGATGGACATTTGTCGCTGTATGACTACATATTTTACACAATGCCAGAACCAAAATCCTCATATTAATTATTTTAAGATCAATTTACGAGTTTTTCCTAAATAACTGATTCTTTTCTGATGGTGACCCAATATATAAGCAACATAATTTAAAGTATGTAAACAGAGGTTTCTATACATGTCTTTATAGAAAGTCGTGTTGATTATTATTATTAAAATTTAAATTGCAAGTTTCAGACTGAAAACATTGTGCTGTTGTGTGTGTGTGTGTGTGTGTGTGTGTGTGTATTATCTGTCCACTCCATTGAGCACGTGGATCCCTGTAGTTAGTCTCTCATAATCACTTTGGCAACAGTGCCAATACAGTTCAGTTTGTTCCACTGACTTGGTTCAGGAAGCTCCACACACATGTCAGGGAGAGCGCTGGATTATGCAATAACCTCAGACTATGGCTCCCTCACTCCAAGCCCCCCACCACCCTCCCCCTTCTGCTCCTCCTCCTTCTCTCTGGTTGCCCTAATTCCAGTCCTCATTGTGTAAACACACCAACTCAGCTCACATTACACGGCGGCTGAAGCAGCAGGCAGTTACGTAGCATCCGTCTGTCTGCTACATGTGATCTAGTGTATTTATGTAATACATGTGCTGTGTCTCTCTGTGTGTATGTGTGAAAGTGTGCAGCGGCAGCAACACTGACAACATGTGGCTGGGTGGGCCATTTAACTGTGGACCTATCACAACCACCAGCTCCGTCTGCGTAACAGCCAAACTTATCTGGGTCACTGCACTTGTGGGTTTTTCTGACAGTGTCTCACTGTGTTACTGTGGTACATTCAGGGTCGCAGCAGTGCAAAGCTAAGCACTTTAGTTTCTACTCGAGAAACTTGAAAAGGTACACGGGTAAGCAGTAAAATGTCTTTGGTGCCGAGGGAAAAAGTTTAAAGAAACAGTGCAGACGTTTCAAAGGACGCAGTTGGGTTTAGGTCACAAGAAAAATGGGAGTAAAATCACAAATGACAAAAGTCCATCAGGTCAAAACTACATTTGGGTTATCACTGAAAATGATTGTAAAAAGTGTTTATCTCCTGCACTACATGAAGGCAATTCACAAATGTGTCCCTACTGAAAAAAACAATTCATTTTTTTTATACTTTTAAACTTTTTTAGTATATTTTTGCTAAGCGAAGGAAAGCTCAGAAAAATGCTAAGTAATACTTTTGAATGGATGTGAAAATATTATCTGTATGAATAAACTTTTATTTCAAATGTGTCTATCAATTTCTTATCATACCATCGCATTAGCATTAATTTGACTTGTATACAGCTGATATTCTCAAAAACAACCAGTTTTGCTATAACTTAGTTAGCAATTAGCTAACTATTGCTGGTCTGAATTAAGCTATGAATTCTATAACTGCACTGAAGTTTTTTTTTTTTTTTTACTGTAAGCCAGAGTTTGATCTGCTTGCAGCGTTTCTGCTAGCCCTGTTAGCTCTGTTGTGGCAACTTCAGTTGAATCTGAATCAACCGAGGTTAAAAGCCTACATTATCAGAACCACGGATGTCTGTCTGATGAGTGGTGAAACCTAAGGCACAGTGAGAACTAACAGAAGGAGGATCAGACACTCACACTCCTTAGACATGCCCACAGCGAAGCACCGCTGCAGCCGACAGTATTGACAGCGGTTCCTGGTGATCTTGTTGATGATGCAGTTTCTGTCACGATGGCAGGTGTAAACCATGTTTTTCTGCACGCTGCGGCGAAAGAAGCCCTGTGGTACAGTACACCAGGTGGAAAAAGGAGGAATTAATTCTAGGCTTAGCTCCCTGTGGTACAGTACACCAGGTGGAAAGGAGGAGGAATTAATTCTAGGCTTAGTTAAAAAAAGATTTACAACTGCTTTCTCAAGAAACATCTGCTGTAGACGGCGTATGTGGACGTAGAAATGAAGAGCAGTTAGGAAACATGCATAATAATGTTCCAGAAAATCCCAAGCATGACATGCTTAACGCAACTGTGACGCGTTTTTTCAACCTTGGGGTTACAACCCCAAGTGGGGGGCACCTGAAATTTCTAGCAATTATAATAAAAAAAATTATTGATACATTTTTTTTCAACTAATTATTTAAAAAAAAAAAGATTAAAAACACCATACACAAACTTAAATAACCGTATTCTTTCAATTTCATGAGAATAATCAAGTTCAAATAAAATACAGTATATAAAAATAACTGACACATGACCGTCTCCGGGTTCGCTAGAATTTTTTGATGTAAAAAAGGGGTCACAAGCTAAAATAAAACAATGGGGAAAGCTGGAGTACAGGGATCATTAGTGTAATATTCCAGAGCCACTAGTGGGCGTTATAAGCAAATCTACAGTGCTGTACACATAGTAACATATTCAAAACTGGCTCATCACTGTGTTACCTTGCAGCCCTCACAGGCACTGACTCCATAGTGATAACCCGAGGACTTGTCCTGGCACACAAAACATGGCTTGTAAGTGCGGGGGGGTGGCGGCGGCGAGGTGGGGCTGGTCAACGTGTCGTCCGAGCTGGAGCTGGAGCTGCAGGTGAACCTCTGGCTGCCTACTGCTGCGAACACACACACACACATCATGGTGACAGGGCTGACGACACAAGATCACAGCTCAGAGTAATTCAACCTCGACGAAGAATACAAATAAAATAAGAAAATTTAGTTTACAGGTAGTAAAACACATGATTTTATGTTTTCCGCTCATGATAAAAGCGATTAATGGTGTTAAAAAATAAACTGTTTGAATTAACCATTTGGAATTTTAGATGTCAGTGTGTCACAGGCCTTCGTTTTTCTTTTGTTGTTTTTATGGTCTGTTACACGTGCTAGTTATCTCTTTAATTACATGGTGACTTGGCTTATACTTACAAATCATTACGCTTCTTTAAATGTTTTCATAGTTTATCTTTGTGATAACAGTTTGTCTGTTCTGCACTGTGTGGTGTATCGTTCAGATATATATATATATATATATATATATATA